ATCAGAAAAAACAACAGCAACATTTCAGCTCTCTGAACAAGGGTCATTCAACATTCCTTTTGAGAAATATTTCTAAATATGTAAAAAGTAAAAATTTCAATGTATAATTACTTATTTTGGGAAATCCAGGTTACTGCAGAACTTTATTTAGTAGCACTGTATTGTTAAATAGAGGTGTTTCATCTTACAGCTATTAAGATGGATGCGAAGACCAAGTCAAAACTGAAATAAAGTCAATCATCTGAGTTTGAAATCATGTGTGTGCATTTTAGAACAATGGCTCTGAAAGTCAGAACATACCTTGAATAAAGCGATGAACCTGACATGATCTGTGGAACCATATGAAATAAAAAGATTTATACAACCTTTCCAACATTACTGTATAATATCCATCTGTTCTCATCTTCTTCAGGTTAGTCTTGATTCCCGGGTGAGAGAAGTGATCAACAGAAACTTGCTGGATCCCAGTCCTCATATGTATGAAGATGCCCAACTCCAGATATACACCTTAATGCATAGAGACTCTTTCCCAAGGTTCTTGAACTCTCAAATTTATAAGTCTCTTGTTGAAAGTATTACAGGCTCTACTTCTGAAACTTAGTTTTAATTTTCATTTTCAAATAACATAACTTGATTTTTTCGGGGGTGGGCGGGACAGAAGAAAAGTAGTTTATTAACATCTGGAGCTGGGTTCCTGGAGAACTACACTTTAGCTCTACTCAGGCTACTGTGAAGAAAACAAATACATACTATGGTCTCTGTCTACATTTTTACCAAGGTCCTCCTTGCCTGAAATAGCATGGGAGGCAAACAATGGATTTGCCAAAATACATTTGTTTCACAACCCTTTCACTCAACTGCAGTCAAGATTGCAATGATGTATTTGTAGTTTTATGAACAGTCTCCTTGTGTATCCTCACATTGCATGTGCAAGGTAAAACTGCTTCACTTACCACTTAGTTGTTGCAATATTTAATCCAATAACATAAATTATATCTGTATTTAAGAACTTTTTTTGTGCAATACAGTCTAATGGTACATAGAAACAACTGCAGCAAACCAGAAAGAGGCTTGCATTTTTTAACATCACTAACTGAAAAAAGCCAATTTTTAAGGTGTAGCATTACTCAACATGCTCTACTGAGTACAATACACTGACTTTTTGAAGCCAATATTTCTGTATAGAAAAAGAAAGAGCTATTTATCACTGTTTATTTAAAATAAATCAAGTGGAGGATTCCTCTGGTTGTTCACTGCCAAAACTGTGGCATTTTCATTACAGAGTTTGCAATGTCAAAAAAAAAAAAAAAAAAAAAAAGCACAAACCACTAAAAGGGATCCGTATCTGGGTGACACAATCTATGCGCTGATATTGTTTAATTGTTAAAAGAACAAAGATTTTCAATGTACATTTCAGATGTCAGATACTGTAATTGATTTATTAAAGACTGGCTATCCAGTTCTAACACTGTTGTATAATGTTATGTACTTCAGCAAAAAAAAAAAAAAGAAAAAAGAAAAAAATAAGAAAACAAAAAGAACAAACACAGAAAGCTTGATAATTTAGTTTTTTTTTTAAATAAAGAAATTTAATAAAAAATTGCCTACATGTAGCATTTTAGAGCATTTTAGAACATATTGATGAATTGCATCTGTCCTGTAAGATTTTTTGTTTGTTTGTTTGTTTTAAAGGCTAAATCCAGTCAAAAAACGTTTTTAAGCAAAGTAATGTTTTACAAGGTGGTGGGTTAAAGAAGACTTAGCTTCTGGCCTCATTGATTTTGAGTAACTCCTTGAGAACAAGGAGTTTGGAGTGTAATATTAAACCAAATTTCAAGGGCTGCTAAATCTGCAGTTCTTACCCAAGCAAAATGCCTACTGAAACTCAATGGGTGTCTTTCCTGGGTAAAGAGTCCTGTACTGAGCCCTAAATGAGAGCTAATGCAGCGCAGTTCTCCAATCACTTTTCTGCCATGGTGGTTTTAGTAGGTGTTTGCTTGGCCTTTTTATCCAAAAACGTCCAATTTTAGGATGCATTTTGATGTTTAAAGAGAGAGTGACTTGGAACTTAACCAACATCGTCATACCTACCATATATGAGGCAAATGAGTGTTTGCATCCCTCACAAACTGCTAAAGATAAACCACGAGATTGTTTTGAATGCTAGTTAAATATATATATGTATGTATGTTTGTATATATATATATATATATATATATTTAACACTGTCAGCTCTGGTCTTGTACTAATACTTTAGAGGCAATGTTCTTCTCACTTTCCTAGGACTAAACACAACATACTCCCATTGCTTTTGATGGGTCCAAAAGGTTTTACAGTTGTGTAACTAAGTGGAATCTGGCCCCAGCAAACTTGGCTCCAACCAGCAAGCTACTCCTTGGTGCCAGCTCTTGCTGAAATGGCTGCTGCCGAGGCTGCTCTGGCTCTACACAGTAGCTGGTAGGAAACAGGTATTAGTTTATTTCCTGGGGCTTATTTTTTCCTTTATTTTACTACCTCTCTCTCTCTTTTTTTCCTCTTAATTTATTGAACATGCTTCAAATAGCAAGTTGGGGAATTTTTTAGTCATTCTTTTTACTTGAAACCTGTGTGCTTTTTTTGGATATATAAGAACAATTTAACAAACTGTTTCTTAAACTCATTTGGTTTTGTAATTTATATAGAATTCAGGAGATGATTAAAAGGGCTATTCTCTATTCCCTATGCAACTATTTTAACTGTTGTAGTGTTTGACAAAATGGGATCTAAAAAAAAATCTGCAAAGTGGAAAACAAATCTGTTTACAGTGGCGTTGCTGACTATCCTACCATATTCAGCACTTTTAAATATTGTTATTTATGAAAATGTAGTTTAAAATGCAAGACAAAGTATTTATAAATGTTTCTTTTAATAAATAACTGTTTTGTCTGAAAGTGTTATTGTGTTATGACAACTTTATTCATGTTGGTTAGTTACTTACCATTATGAATAAAATATTCAATTATTATACTGATAGAGTAATAGCTATGATGTTTACAAATCCTGAGGGGGGGGGAAGTCAGTGAGAAAGGACTGCCTCCTTCTACTGTGAAATACTGTTAGAAGAATGATTTTTGCTGGCTTTTTTTCTTAACTGGAATTTAACTATGGTCCTACATATGTCTAGTATCATGTAATACCAGTTATATTTACTGTGATACTAAACATATACAGCATCATAAATGTATATACTTACATAGTGTAATTTCAAGTCGGTTGGTGTTTGAGGCACAAACATTTGGTTCACACATCTAAACAATGTGTAAGACAAAACTGCATGCAAAAGCCTTTACGAATGTAGACTTACATATTCTTAATGTTACTATTTGATGGTGACCTGCTAGTCATAAGCTATCTTTATAAGATATTTCACATAGGTAGAAGTTCTTGTCAAAAAAGACAAGTCATCCTTTCAAGGACATTTTTAAAGCAAACTGTGTGGGCCCTAAAATATTACCTGGATTTCTAGCTAAAGATTCCAAAACCTGTATTTGGAAACTGTTACATCATTTTGAAAAATATTACACCAGTCTTCAGTGTAATACTGCAATGAAATCACGTTCAGAATTTCTTGTCTTAAATCCTCTATTTGGAGGGGTTTATAAATTGAACATAACTTGTATGAAGTTTCTTTCTTGGAGCAAATGCTCATATTAAAATGATTAATAGACATTTCATCTATCAGTTTGGGTTTCCCAAAATTTTATGAAAAAATGGATATAGTCCAAATGGACAACAACTTGTGCCATAACATGATCTCATTGCCTGTCATGCAGTTCTTTGAACACAAAATGTAAAACAGTCAAGCTATTAAACTGATTTATTGTGCATGCAGTGTACAATACACTTTGAAAAACTGCCTAAATACACTTATTCTATAGCCTGGAATAAAATAAGTATGTATTTAACTTGTATTTCAGTTTTTCATGAGAATGTATATAGCACTATGGAATGTGAGTTACGTTTTTCATAATTTTTGTCTGGTGTTTGAGCTTTTCTGTCAAGTAGAGCACAATGCCAAATAGACACAAATAAGCAGAGCATGGGGGTACACTCGTAAGACCCTTAGGTTTTGAAGATACTTGAGTATATGTTGTATTTTGCACACATTCAACTTAGTGATGTGCATCTGAGCTGAAAGTGGTTTGAGATGCCCAGGATAAAATAAAACCACAGAGAACACCAAAAGTATCTAAGTTAGCTTGAAGACACATATGTATGGAGGAGACCTCAGTGTCCACAGGCCAGTCCAGGCAGGGCAGAATACCCTGGAAATGCATCCACAGTGTCTCAGACTCATCCAAGCATCAGTGGAACCCACAACACCCCTTCACAGCACCACAGAATCAGTGACTCACAGAGACTTGATAGAAATCACACATTAATTATATCCACTTTTAAATTAAAAGTATGCAGAAGTGTCTGCTAGGCTGCGATCTAAACCAACAAAATACAGTAGACCTTCATCATATCTTAAATAAATGGGGTTTGAACTGTCACTTGATGCCAGACTTGCATCAATAGTGAACACAACGACCATTTGCCCATGAACAGCATATAAAAGAGGTGAGAAGGCCTTTGTAAGAGTAGCTGGCGGGTTTACTGCATTAAGGAGCAAGTTTCCATACTCAAAACATTGCTGCAAAAGCCCTTTATGTGTCTTCCACACATTACTTTGAACCATGTCTAACTACCAACTCCAAAACACTGCTTTGTTTGTAGATGCCCAGAAGCACCCCTTTGGAGCAGCTTGGGATACAGCTGCAGCTGCCCAGCCCTGTTCACCTCTGTCCTGAGCACACACTGCAGAGATGAAACTTCAGTCCTCCTTTCACACCTCAGACCTCAGGGCTTTGGCAGCAGATGTGTCTTTTGCAAGACAAAAGAACAACCCAGCAGTGGCACCAATGTGAGCTAGAAAAAGGATTACATTAACTGTACTTTTGGGAAACAACTACTCAGGTGTTATGCCAAAAGCCGGGTTTTGCCCCTTCCTTTATCCACAGCCTGTCACTCAGTGGAATTACATCTTTCCCATTTAAAATAGGGACACAATCCACCCGTCACAACTTGGGGAGCTGCATGGGTGGGTGGCAGTGGTTTGCGGTCACTGGGACTCACAATAACCAGACTGCACTGTGCACCACTGCCCGGCTTACTTCCACATCTACTTCCAGTAAGTTAATTCTACACTACTGTCATAGCATATTTTGTCACAGAGCTTTATTCAGAGTGGTGCATTGACACTCATAACGATGACGATTTATTCACATACAACGATGCGGTTACTGCTATCCCACCAGGGTAGTTCACTTGTGAAGTACGGTTATGTCCTTCTGTTAAGACACATACAGGAATGGAAGAATGGCGAAGATCTGACTTTGACGGCCGGAACATAAACTACTGCCTAATAAAGTTTTATGGCCAGTTGCATATTTTTTACAATAACCCATATTCTTCAGTGCACCTTCCGAGCTCAGCTCAACGCGACCCAGCCCCCATGCGCGCACTGTCAGCGCCGGCCAATCAGAGAGCGCCTTCCTCCTCCACGAGACGAAGGGAGCCGAACCCCTTCGTTCGTTTCCGCCACCGGAGCCCCGATGGCTGATATCGGGGCCGAGTCTCTTCGGCAGCTTCCGGAAACCCGGAAGGGAAACAGCCGAGCGCCTTCTGTTACCTCCGGCGCGGTGGGCTGCCGAAAGAAGGGCTGAGTGCACGAAGCGATCCTCAGCCGGTATGGGGCTATTCTCGCGAGCTCTCCGCGCGGCCCGAAGCTGCCCGGCAATCGCACTGTCTGCCTGCAGCTACCAAGCGGTGTCCGGCAGAGGCAGCGCGGCGGCAGTACGTCCGCAGCAGTCGCGGCGTGGGCTGAGCGCCCGGCCTCGCTTAGACGAACTGTTTGCCATCCCCTCCTTAAGCCGCCTCCTGGAGGCGCGGGTGAAGGGCGAGGCCGGGACGATGCTGGCGGCGCGGATCCAGCGGCTGCGTGACAAGGAACGGGAGCTGCGAGACACGCGGGAGCTGGCACTACAAGGTGAGGCGCGTCGGAAGGCCTGTGCCCGCTCCCGCCTCTGGGCCGCCGCGACGGGGAGGGGAGGGCAGAGTTTTGCATGGGAGGGGCGTGCTGGAGTCCATGGTGCCTCCACCAGTGGGCGGTGCGAGGTGAATTTGCATAACCCGACGTGATTGGGTGGCCTCCCGGAGGGGGCGGGTGCGGGCGAATGAGTGGCGCTGTCGACCTCTAAGGGATCAACTGCGCATGCGTGGATGTGCACCGTTCCGCGGGGGCGCACCCGGCGCTACACAGTAGTGCTAACAGCTCTCGTTGCTTTGGCTGGAGGAGATGACTAACGTTGTTTGAAAGGAAAATGTGTTTCCTTTTTTTCTCCCCCGTTCATTCTCTTCCGGCATGGAGTGAAAAAGAAGAGAAATGCTTCCATTGGAAAAGTTATTAATTGGCCCAATGCTGTTAGTTTCTGTTATGTGGAAGTGGAGTGAAGGATTTTTGTCTCCCTTCTGAGCCCTTCCCTTCAACCCGATGTTGATCTTAAGCGAAGTGACCATAAGGGTTTGGTCGGTCACTGCGAGCACTTCTGCAGCTCATCCTTAAAAATGTTTCCATTTAATAGGATCATAGAATATGTGAAATTGGAAGGGCCCCAAAAGGATCATAGAATCATCATAGAATCACAGAATGGCCTGGGTTGAAAAGGACTATAATCATCATCTAGTTTCAACCCCCCTGCTATGTGCAGGCTCACCAACCACTAGACCAGGCTGCCCAGAGCCACTACCAGCCTGGCCTTGAATGCCTGCAGTGATGGGGCATCCACAACCTCCTTGGGCAGCCTGTTTCCAGTATGTCACCACCCTCCTAATAGGAAGTTTGTGTGAAAAACTTCCTCCTAATATCTAATCTAAACCTCCCATCTTAGTTTAAAACCATTTCCCCTTTTCCTATCACTATCCAAGGATTATCAAGTCCAACTCCTGACTCCACACAGGGCCACCCAAAAATCAGACCGTATCTCTCTTAAGTGATTTTAGAGCTTATTTTACATTTGTGTATTAAAATATGCAACTGTGCTATGAAATAGGTTTGTTCTTCACAATTACTTAGTGAATATCTGATTCTGTCGGCCTTAACGCTAGACCTTGATCAGACAGTAGTCAGTCTAAAATAAAGAAGTAGATGGATGCAGGTGACCAACTTAGTGTGTTTAAGGTGTCACAGTTCATCAGCCACTCAGCCATGTGTGCTTCTTGCCAGCTGTAAGTAAAGCATACTTGTTATTGAAATCAATTTACACATGCTTTTTTTCTTTTCCTTCCCTTTTTGCAGAAGTGATTTGGAAAAAAATAATCCCCAGATACTAAATGTGATCTTTAAAGATGACAAAATTTATTTTAAAATGTAGTTAATCGCTAACATGAATCACAGTACTGAAAAGGTGTGTATTTGCTGTGGGGGAACCTTACAGACTCAGCTGTGCACAAAGAGATGGTGGCTGGCATCTTTTTTTTTTGGTCTTGTGCTATTGATTATGCAGTTCTGTCCTTGTGTTCCATGCCCTTTCATTATCTGTGTAATTTTCTCCTTTTGGGGGGTTTATTTTGTTTTCTTTTGGGCAAGTGAGCTGAATTACTACAGGTCAGAGATAGTTTAAACTGTATTTTGTTTAAGTCTGAAGTTTGATACTGACGAGGGAGTAGGAGGAAGGGATATCTTAGCATATTTAAACAGTAGCACAGGAAAACAAGTCTAACAGTAAACGATTAGTGTTGATCAGTCAAGTATCATCTTAAAATTACAAGTTCCTCTTATGTGAGGACTCTTGCATATTTATGTCTTTCAGCAATGTGTTAGAAATTCTGCAGCTGCCTTACAATAACTTCTTACAGATAGAGTACTTGAGCTTACTGCTATGACATTTTTATGTACAGCAGTAGTCCTCTTAATGAAATGTTAACTGTGGGACTCCTCTACCCTTTGATCCTTGATGTCCCTATCACAGTGAAATACAGGAGGGTGTTCCCCGGGATCCTGGGGTGGCTGAGGTGGAAAGGCCCCTCAGGGAATGGCTCAGCCCACTGCCCAGAGCAGTCACACGTTGCCCAGAGCAGTGTCCATTTCAGGTCTGCCTGTCTCCAGGGGTGAGACCCCTGAACATCCCTGAGCAACCTTCTCCAGCTTTTGGCCACCATTACAATAAATTATTATTTTTTTTCTTACGCCTAAGTGGGATTTTTTTTTTGTATTTCAGATGTAGAAACATCTCACTCAAACAATAGATAGTTTGTCATTTTTCTAGATCATAACATTAATTACATTTTCTGACAGATTTGGTGCAATTTTGTTTATTTTGTAGTTCTTCACGTGGTTATTTTTCAGAAGGTTTTCTGAGGGTGCCGCTGGTTTAAGTCTGAGGATTAACCATGCTCAAATATTCCAGATGAGAGTGAAGATCTGCGGAAGCTTGCAGAAAGGGAAATCGTTTCCTGTGAAGAAGAGATAGCTGAACTGAAACACCAGGTTAGATTGCCTCTGAAAGCTTGTTATTTCTTTGCCATTCCTAAGTTAACAAAGCCAAGTTGTCCTCTTGTTAAAATAGATATGTATGATGAACTCTTCTCCTTTCCCCCCTCCCAACCTCTGCCAACTGTACTCCTCAACCGGTGTCTGTTACCTAAGGAAAAAAGAAAATGCAGATTGCATGTAGATAGTCTGTGGCTGAATTCTTTTTATCAGTTCATCCTGATGGGTAGGGACTGTAGTTTGTCTCTTCTGGTTGTAACTTTGTGGGCATTCAGCTTGTTATTGGTTAGGAACTTTCAACTTGCATGCTGTGGTTTTGAAAAAAAAAATAGTGTAATACTATGTAACTGCTTTAGACTGCTACCTTGTATAGGTTCTACATAGTATCTATGGATATTTGTATCAAATAGTTACCTTTATGTAAACTGCTAACATGTTCCTAATGCTACTGGCAAACTGGAAGCTGGCTGGCTGTTAGTAGAAATAGACTGTAACTCACATTCTTTATTCCTTTGGCAGCAATAGAGCAGTCATATTATTAAAAAATAGGTATTTATTTATTAGTAGATATTTATGTTATATGCTAAATGAAGAAAGGGAAAGCTAAAGTAGAAAGAGATATCACCTAATACTAGTCAAGAAGGATGATTGAAAATTATTTATAAGTCATACAGAGTTTTAATCAATCCTTCAGAACTATTATATAGTTTTTGGTTTTAGTATTCTGGTGTATCTTTATCCATCAGATCAATAAAGCATCTCACCTTTAAATAAATAAAAATAATATAGCTGAATTGGTGTTGAAATATAATTCAGAGCTAATCTTCTTAGTTCTGAAGTTGATACTGGTTTAAAAAGGAATCTGATGGGAGTGGAGAAGCTTTGTTTTCTTGCAAGAATCATTATATATCCTATGGTGTCCGACCAGTGCAGTGCTTCTAATTGATGAAAAGTTTTGTGGCTCTTGAAAGAAATCTTTTCTTTCTGCAAACAGACACAGGGAGGCTTTTGGCAATACAGCATCCTCCCCTCCCAATTCCTGTGTATTAATTCAGGGATTGCCAGAAGACACTGAGCAGACAGCCCTCTGGAGAGTCTGTGAGTTAATGCAGGAGAATGTAGAGTAGATAAGTTATTGCATGGCATTTTATACAATATCAGTTCTGGATTGAAGGGGGAGATCTTAGATGAGTGTTTTTGCATTCACAGATAGTATTGCTTTTGATTCCTTCAGAAGAAACAAACAGTGATCTTGTCATGGAAGTAACTGCTGGAGTTGGAGGACAAGAAGCGATGCTGTTCACTTCAGAGATATTTGATATGTATCGACGATACGCTGCCTATAAAAAGTGGAAATTTGAAATATTAGAATATTTTCCCAGTGAAATAGGTCAGTAACTTAAAAAAAAAAAAAAAAAAAAAAAAAGGGTTGTAATTGTTTATAACTTTCTAATTTAAGCTGAAAAAATAATTCTTATGCCATATGAATTTCCTGACTACAGGAAAATAATTTCTGGGAAATTATATTTAGAAGCAGAGATTGAATGTCTGGGTACAATTTTCTTCAGCTTCTGTATTTGAGAGTGATATTCCACTTGAGAAGCGCTATTAAAATAGTAACATACCAAAAAAAAAAAAAATTCTTTCAGTAGTTTCAAAAAAACAGAAATGAAACTAAGTGCTTGCAGATAAGAAATTCAGAAGGTCATGCTGTTATATTTTAGTTTTATATAACCTGTGTTTGTAAAAAGAAATATATATTTTTTTATTTTATCTTGATATGCTGTTCTATTTACCTAAAAATGCAAACACCTTGTGTTTATGGGTTGGTTTAAAGGCGGATTGAAAGTTCATTTTTTATTATGGGTTTTTTTGGCAGAGAGGAACACATTATTATTTAAAGGATTCTTTGCATTTAATCCAAAATATCTTGAATTTTTTTAAGTAACGTCAGTTGAGGATTGTATAAGGAAAGGAGATGTTTGGATATAGCTCCTGTAACAGCTAATGGATACACAAAGTGAGGGAGTTGTTGAAACTTTGAGAGGAGAACTAAAACATGTGATCGCCTAAGAAAGCCTTTGAGTAAAATTTAACCTATCAGTTTTTCACCTTAATGATGCAAGTAAAAAGAGGTGCCTTTATAAAAATAAATAGCATAAAATAAAGAGCAACGTGTAGCTGAATGCAAGGAGAATAGAAACTGGTGTATTTGGTGATGAGGAGCTGTTAAATTGATTCTCTGTATCTCTGGGAGCAGTGTGTTTACAGAAAGGGGAGCATGGTAGGTTTACATAACAAACAGAGGCAGGAACATTAATTTACTGATTGTACCAGCTGGTGTGTAAATTTGTTTCACAAAAATCAGGCTGCTGTCTCTGCATGACTTTTCTGCACTGACACTTCCATCACTGCTGAAAGTCTCATTTACCAAGTTAATTCAGCAGACAAACTACATACAAAAATTGATCAGTTTTCAGGTGATCCAGTACAACAGAGGGAAAGAGAGAGACTCATGGAAAAAGCGGAAGCAGAAAAATATGACTTCATCTCCTTCCAGCAGTCGAAGGTTCAGTGAGCTCAGGTTAACTGCAGTCTGAAATATGATGGTGTGCATGAGTGGTGGTAGGGACCACGTTTTTTGACAAATTGCTAGTCACAGTTCTCAGCAGCTGAACCTGTTGACAGATCTGCAGCCTTGCTGTTATGCATAGTGTGGTGAGTAAAGCTAGTATATTTTGGTAACCTATATTTTGCTGTGGGTGTAATGTGTATTTTACAGTGGGAATGGATTGGTAGATGAGTGCTTGCACAGTTTGCAACTAGTAGCTTGAAACTATTTGTATTTTCAACAGCATCCTTCTTTATTTTTTGTAGCTACAAACAGTTCATAGTTTTAATTAAGTTCTTATTAACTCTTCTGATAAATAGGTATTGATAAAAAAAAAAAAAAAGTAATGAACAACATGAAAAATCATCATTTAAAATTTTTGTTTTAATCGAGGAAAGAAAACTGAGGAAAACAGCTTGCCTGAGAAACTTTGTAGATGTAGTTGGAAAAGTTAGGAAGTTATAGGATGTAATCCATCAGAACAACTAATCTCTCTTCAGTCAGTACTTTGCCGGAAACTGAACTAGCTTCTGCAATGACAGAAACTTACTTTCTTTTAAAAGCAAATTGAATTAGCATGGTACAGATTAGATGAGTATAAACGATATGAGGGAAAGGGATGAGTTTTCTTTATTTCATACCTCAAGAAGAGGGATTTAAGGAGGAAGTCAGTTTTAATAGGGGCAGTCCCACTTTCTAGCCAGCAGCCAACTTTACATCTCTTCTGTGTCTCTGCTTTAGCAGTTTTGAGGCCACAGTGCTAATTGGATCAATCTGCTGATTTGGCTTGAAAGCTACCTATTGTTACTCGATAATTAAGGCAGATCAGACTCAACTAGCAGCCCTGAGATTACAAGAGAAAGGGAGCTGTACTTGACTACCTTTTTGGTGAAAGCTCGATTCTTAGATAATGAACACAAACCTGCAGAAGTATTCTTTTCAGTGCCTGAAATTGGAAATCAGAGTCATAAATTAATACATATCTAGCCATTTTTTTCTTATTGAAGCTTCTTGTTTAAAGGGGTTAGATACATGTCAGAACTGTTTTGACTTGCTGAGGGCTTGCCTATACAATGAGATGAATATTTAGGGAAGGAAGATATAAGTTTGCAAGAAAAAAAAACCAGCTTTATTCTTTGTTGCCTCTTACAGTGCATTTCCTCACCATACTTGTTTTTATGAGTCATCATCCAAAACTTGAGATGCTGGGAGGAAGTTGTGAGATAGAGCCACTGTAGATGGCACAGCCACTACATTCCTATACAATTCCTTAGGTCCTGTGTTTATTAAGAAGCAAGTTAAAGATACTCACTGGTATGGCTGGTGGTTATATCCCACCCACACTGCATTCTAATGGACTGCATGAGCAAAAACAAAGTCCTATACTAAAAGCTTCCTCATTTCAAAGAGCTCCAGAATCCAAACAGGTTAATGTTAAGCATGGCTGCAGCTAAGAATTAGTCTGAATCCACTCTTAACTTACGCTATGGACACACCACAGAAATGACTCTGAGAAGTAGCACATTTGAGGTTTAACATGCACAGTAAAGCACAGTCCCATGTGGTATTATTTATCCACTATTCCTTGCTCTGTAGCAGCATGTGGAAACATAGATATCAAACTTTGTTGGGGTCTGAATATAAGGTGACATAAGGAAACTAACAGAGCTCAAGCTCCTTGTTTGTTGCACCTTGGCTTTACAGAATGGAGAGGGACATTTTTAGTTAGAGGCAAACAATAGTCAGTAGGAACTAGCTGTGTTTGACAGGCCTGAGTAATGTTTGCAATGTTAAAAAAAAAAATAAATAAAAATGAGTAGGTTTATTTGAATTTCATTGAATTTGACTGTGTTTCTTGATAAACCTGAAGTTACTGTGTATTGGTAATAGTGTATTTGAAGCAATAAGACCTAAATAAATACCTGTCTTAAACTAGTTTCTTGGTCATCTTTTACTAAGCTCCACATTACCACAGTTGCACAACCATTGCTACAGACTTAAAGTCTCCTGAACATATCACAGATGTAAGTGCAGCTCAGATAGGCAGGCTGTACCCGTTGTAGATGTACTAATGCCAGGACAAGTGAGGGAGAAAAGACAGAACATTAGCTTTTGCAATGAACTGCTTATTACATAATTAATTTTGTCTAGAGTGCCATTCAAGTTATTTTTACATCTGATTTGGCTTGGCTTTTTCCTCATGTGCAGAAAATGCTTATTATATCTTTTTGTTGTTGTGATTTTTTTTTTGTTTTGTATTTTTAGTACTTGCTTTTACATCTAAAGGAGCAAGTATGTTTTAATTCTAGCACTGCAAACAAATACACAGATTGCTTAGGTTATATATCTCTTCTTCTACAATAAGGAGTATTTTGTTTATTTGAATACTGTTTGCATAATAATTAAGATTTCATGGCACCTGTTAGAGAGTACCTTACTGATTTAAACTGAAGTTTTTGATGCATATTCTTATTTGTTAAAATACATGCTTTCGAGTCATATTTATCATGATGGTTTTGTCTTACAGAATTGGTTGTAGATAATTACTATAAATGAAGAACTGCTTGTGTTGAGTGATGCATTTGATTAGAAAGCAAGGTCTCTACAGGTGGTAGTAAAATTTTAGAATTCACAGGGACAAACATGAGGTGAAAGTAAGGAAAAAAGGCAATTTCAACTGATTTTGACAAACCTAACTGTAAAAAGTAATATGTTTCAGTAAAGTTAGGAGGAACATTGAATTTCTGTAGAACAAAAACATTTGCAGTAATAGTGAAAAACCTGGCCTGCATTCTGGCTGATAACTGACTTCTGTACTGTGCAGTGATATCACATTCTATGTTCTCTTCATCTTTCTTTTTTGTAAAGCTGTTACCTTGTCCCTTAACCTAGAGAGCCTAAAATTGCATTTCTGAGAAGTATGTATGTGCCTCTCATTTTCCTGGGCTGTGCTTTCATGTTGAAAGACTTCATATAGCAATATTCTTTCAAGGTTTTCTCTTTTTCAATATCTCTCATGGCACACCACCTGCTGAGAATGGGATCTGGGAACTGATTTGGATTAAAAAAAAAAGCAGGGTCAGGTTAAAAAAATAATAATAGTGACATTCACTTATAGTGCCATCAGTTCTCTAATCTTTCAAACAGTTATACTAGCACAGTTGAAGGGATTGCACTCTGGCAAACAAGGAGGAGGAAGAATGCCATCAGCTAGTATTGCAACAAACTTTCTGTCTTGATTGTATTGGGTCTTAGTTCGAAAGTTCCAATTTTGAACGTTCTATGCTAACTTTCAGTATGTTGCTGTCAAATGTTTTGCTTAATATGCGGGTAAGGGGGCAGAAGCTCCGCTAATTCTGATGGAGTAAAAAGTTAAAATGAAATGGAAGAACAAAGATGAGGCATAAAAGAGAATGCAGAAGAAGAATTTAAAAAAAAACAGATGTCCCTTGTAAGTTAAAGACTCACTGTGATGGTTCTTTCTTTATCCATTACATGTTGAGGTTCTCAAATACTACTGGCTTTCAAAACTTGATCTTTACATAAACTTACAATTGGGTCAGATTTCTGTTGTAATTGAAGTATTGTGTGCATGGCTCATAAACAACCTTTTATGTATATATAAAAAATTTAATTGGACTCTGTTAGAAGAACTTGTCCTTTACTTGATATATTGTGTGAGTATGTATGTTTTGGAGTTGTCTTGCATTTTTGATGTAATTCTACCCAAGCAGCAAAATGATCAATATGCAGTTTTAAGAAATAAACAACGATGCCTCAGTATGCTTGAATTGTAATAACACGTAGCCAATATTGTTTACACTTTTATAACTGTTTTTTATTTAAGGTGGCCTAAGACACGCAGTTGCCAGTATAGCAGGCCTTGATGCTTACAAGTACATGAAATTTGAAGGAGGAGTGCATCGTGTTCAGCGGGTGCCAAAGACAGAAAAACAAGGGCGCATTCACACCAGCACAATGACTGTTGCAATATTACCCCAACCCACTGAGGTAATGTTTATTTTTAGTATAACAGATACTACCATAAGCAATGCTTTTACTTGCCATATTGCTTATACCAAAGTCTTTTCTGTCTGTCTAGTTGTTTTCTCTTAATTATGATTTTGCTTTTTAATCTAAAAGTTTTAAGTCGTATTTGATTGTTTATTTTTGCCTAAGGGAATGAAATAATTTCTATATTTCATCATAATTGTTATCTCAAACTCACTGGCAGTTTATTTCACTGTCACTTGAAAATTTACTGTAGTTGTGCCTTGCGTGTTCAGTGGACGTAGTGGGAAAAGACTGATTTAGTTTAGAGAGGACATAGATATTTCTTTTAGCATCCCTCTTACCTATTTTTATAGTATCCTCATTTTCCCTTTCCAAATTGCATGAGTGACAATTCATCCTTAGCAAATTTGCTTGGTTATAAATAATTGCCTAATAATTAAAACTTTGGATGTTCATCCTAGCAAACTGTCAAAATATTCTATTTCTTCTTCTTGTCCCTAAGCTGTTTCATTAGTTCCTCCCAGAGATCACCACCCCATTCCAGAGTCAACAAAGTCAGTATGTTCTCTTTTACTTGAAACCCATCTAGTCAAGTTCAAATACTGTTTAACTTGTCTGAGGGAGAGTGCAGAACTTTCAGAAGAGGGGGGAGATTAGTACTAATGGATGGTTATCTTTGACTTCCCCACTTTTAAAAAGTGCATCTGAGCTACCACTCAAACTTTAGAAAAAAAAAATTAGTTTGATCTTGCCTGAGTATGTTCTGTAAAATAAACCAACTGTGCATATTTGACTTCTTTTCTTTTTGTCTCTCATGACAGATGGAGCTGAAAATTAATCCAAAAGATTTGCGAATAGAAACGAAGAGAGCCAGTGGAGCTGGAGGGCAGCATGTCAATACCACAGACAGTGCTGTAAGGATAGTTCATATTCCAACAGGTGCTTCAGTTTTCCTTAGTACAAGAACTACACTGTAAAAATAAGGTCATAATTTCCTTTGTACTGTGTTATTTGAAAGAACAGTTTCAAACCTGGGTAACTGAAGAACAAAGTTTTCGTGTTATTTTTGTGTGTGCAGAGAATCTCCATAATGTTGTAAAGAAGATGTCTTGTGCCTACCCTCATTTGTAATAGTTAAGGCCTTAGTAGGTAAGCTATCAGTTTTTTCATTAAGTGTGACACTCATGAAATACTCAAATTAATTTATAAGAAAAAGTTTTATATTAAGCTTTCAACTAATGGAAAAGAAACTGAAAAACAGAGGTTAAAATCTTAGGACGTAGTTTTTTTTGACTGTTCTCTGAAAGAGAGGTTGCTCTTTTTCCTTATTAAGTAAGTAAGTTTTAAGTATCATCCGTTGCAGAGTCTACTTAGGTTGCCAGCTTCCATTTGTCTTCTGGCTCTTTTCCCATGGATTACAGACATAATTACAACACCCATCCCCAGGGCTCAGGTTAGGAAATGTAAGACGGATAAGATACACCCTCAAATGCTACCTGATGTCAGCTATCATATCTTTTATTGCTGTTTCTAAGCTTTTAACCTCCTTTTGAGCAATCCACAACATCTGCTTTGACTTTCATTGCTTTTTAACTTTTCCTCTTCTCCACCACAAACATTAGTCAGGCTTTACAGCCTCAGGGTAATCCTGAGTACACTTTATCTTTGCATATCCAGGTTTTTGCCACTCATTTCTTTGTATTTATTGAATACGTAAATCCACTGCACTTGTTGCATCACCTCAACAAAATGGAAGGTAAATAGTAAAGATGATAGAATTCTACTTAAGATACAGTGACAAAAAGGTACTCAGATTAGAGAAGTTTTGTATTGTTTTGTTTTTTTCCAAATGTGTGGACAAAAAGCAGCAAGTGGTCTTGGCTTTTGCTGAAGGCAGCTATTAGGGTTTTTTTTAATAGAAATATAAAAATGTATTGCAATTATTTCTTGTGGTTATGTGCTAGGGGTAGTGCATAGTGATATTTGTGGGTTTTTTTTTGTTTTGTTTTGCATTTCACCTAATCTGAAATTTTCTTATTTATCTTCATAATCTCTCTTGCTTTACAAATATTCTTTTACTTTCAATTTCTGTCATCCCAAGTCCATTTACAACTCTTCATTGTGACCCCAGAAGTTGTTTTTGAAGTTTCCTTTAAGACAACAAGACTTCTCTTTCATAAATTAATGCTAAGTAATTATGTATTACTATACTGTAATCTTACCAGAGTTATTTATATGTTTCCAAATAGAAACTTAGGTTGTACCATCTTCTTTCTGCATTTCTTTTTCCTGCTATTTTCTCAGGTTGTTTATTTATTGTCTTAACTTGAATTGTATATTTTTGGGAAGAAACCATACTTTTTTTCTGTATGTTCTGTAGAGCCACTATCTAGTGTACATTACTGTTATTTTACTGCTAAATTTCCTAGAACTGTGGTGAAAAATTATAGATATCTTCATAAGTTTATCACTTATTTCATTGTTCAATATCCTAAAATAAATTTATTTTCTTCTGCCGTAAATCTTAAAACACAACTCAGCCTGCAGTTGGCAGTTCTGTCTCAAAATATCATCAGACACGAAGGAGCCTGGACTTTTACCTTCCTTGTCCAAATATACATTTTTTCTCCTCATAATAAAAATCTCTAGAAATTGTAAACTCTTTTTTATATTTCCATTTCCAGTTTAGTGTTAATTCTCGTTATATTTTTGGCAGGGGTAGCATCTGAATGTCAGCAAGAAAGATCTCAAATTAGAAACAAAGAGAAGGCTATGCAAATGCTTTGTGCTAAACTATACAACATCAAACTGGAAGAAGAAACCAAAAAGAGAAACAGTGTTCGAAAGATTCAAGTAAGTTTCATTTTGTGAAGATTTAATTCTATATGAGCGTGTGTTCCTGTGTTCTTTCACAAGTTTAAGAGCAATTAGTGTGACTACTGATGTAGTCTAAGCACTATATAACAAATTCTATGTATTTATGAGAAAGAGAAAACTTTTGTTTTAAATGCTTAATCAGTATTTCACCCTTCCTATAAGAAGGCTTTTAATCAGTGTTGCAACTGATTCTTCTTGTTTGATAGATTGGAACTAAAGGAAGATCGGAGAAGATCAGAACATACAACTTTCCACAGGACCGGATTACTGACCACAGGATAAGCAGATCAGTGCATCATACTGAGTGCTTCATGTTAGGGGAAGAAATGCTAGATGAAATGATACAAACTCTGAAGGAATACGCTGATTATGAATCTTTATTGGAAATTATTTCAGGACATGAAAAATGAGTCTTGCTCTTTGTCAAGCCACATCTACAGGTATAGATACTCGCCTGCAAAAGAACTCCTTGGAGCACCATTCAGAGAACAGAACTGCTTTCAGATAATGAAAGCTGGTTTCCTCATGGCTGATAAACAGTATTCTTACTTGTTGAGTAAAACACCTTGATGCTGCTGCAGTGTGCTTGAAGTAAATTTGACTGGGCCAGATGTAACTGCAGTTTTTAACTTCTCCACTGAGAAGATACTGATACACCACTCTCAAAAGGTATGCATTAAAAATGAGTTTTCTCTAGTCCCAAGTCTTGTTCAAACAGTAGTTTCAACATCACCGCAGTGTCAAATAGCTTAGTCAAGATAACAAAAAAAAAAATCCTATTTTGTTTAGTAATACAAAGAAAGTGATAAATGAACACACTACTAATCTGCAGATTTGTTAATGACTTATACGTGGTATGGGAAAGGGAGTTCTTATAAATCAAGCAGAAAGAATTGTATAGGAATATTCCTTGTTCCAGGAAGAGTTCTAGAAGAAAAGTCACTAGTTTTGTGAATTCTTTTTAAAAAGAATGTTTCTGTTCTTGTGTCAGAACAACAAAAAAAAAAACAACAACAAAATTAAGTGGCTGTCTTGAAGGCTGATACAATTTCAGTCTCTATTTCTATACAGTTTATCTTTTGTTTTTAATTGGATCTGCATTTTACTGATATATTTTTTTTTCCTCTGAAGTTTACATAATATAAGTGACTGCTCACTGTTTTAAACTGTTCAGTTTAACAGCATCTTAAAACATTTGTACAAAGCATAAGAACTGCCTTTTTCATCTACTAATATAGGTACACATTCCTATCTGAGGTTAAATAAGACTGCATTTTACAGTCTTAAGTATTTGTGGTAATACAAAACTTGCTGCCTCCATGCTATGTTAGCCCATCATTCATTGTAGATATATGTGTGTATACACACACAGAATGTATTCAAAGTACCAGTAAATAAGAAATGAGAACCTAAGGAAAATATTACCATGAATACAGTTGTTTACTTTGAGACCTATTAGCATAAGAAATTAGAGTAAGAAAGAAATAAATGCAGGAGTTTGCTACAGTTAGCTTACAGAAACATGGCTAAGCATGCTATATAACATTTGACAAGGAATGAAAAACCAAAACTGATCATTATCGGTTTATCATATCAAAGTATAGCTTAAGTTGGAGGGGACCTTAAAGATTGTCTAGCTCCAACCCCCTGCCATGGCAGTGTTGCCAGCCACTAGACCAAGCTGCCCAGGGTCCCATCCCACCTGGCCTTGAACCCCTCCAAAGATGGGGTATCCAGAACCTTTCTGGGCAACCCATTCCAGCTTGTCACCATCCTCTGAGTGAAAAACTTCTTCCTAACATCTAACCTAAATGAACCTTCATTTAGTTTAAAGCCATTCCTCCTTGTCCTATCGCTATCAGACCATGTAAAATGTCAGTCCATGTCCTGCTTGTAAGCTTTCTTCAAGTACTGGAGAGCCACAGTAAGATCTCCCTAAGCCTACTCCAAGCTAAACAAGCTCAACTCCTTCGACCTTTCTTCATAAGAGAGGTGCTCCAGCCCTTTGTTTGTCTTCATGGCCTCCTCTGGACCTGCTCTGACAGCTCTATATCCTTCCTGTGGTGGGAGCCACAGGCTTGTATAAGTACTCCAGATGGAGCCTCACAAGGGCAGAGTAGAGGGAGACAATTGCCGCTCTTTCCGTGCTGGCCATCCATCTATTGATGCAGCTGGCTTTCCGAGCTCCAAGAACACACTGCTGTCTCATGTACTGCTTTTCGTCCATCAGAATCCCCAAATCTTCCGCAGAGCTGCTTTTGAGTTTGTCTCCCAGTCTGTTCTTATATCTGGGATTGCCTCAACCCAAGCAAAACAACTTGCACTTGGCCTTGTTGAACATCATCAGATTCTTGAGTGCCGGCTTTATGTGCGTGTCCAGGTCGCTCTGGATGGTGTCCCTCCCTTCTGTTGTTTCAACTGTGCCACTCAGCTTGCTGTCATCTGTGAACTTGCTGAGAGTACACTCAATCCCACTGTGTTATTCATTTCATTTTAAGATTGCTGTTTGAACGGATGCATTTCAAAAACAAGTACTGACTCAGTATCTTTACCAGCTTTGTTTTATAGCAAATACAGCGTGGTAAGAAAGACCAAGTTCCAAATATTCAAATTAAAATTGTATATATTACCTGAAGATGTTGAAGTGCCTGTGTATATTAGGCGAGGTACACATTTCCTGTTGGTAAGTGTGAGACCTTACCCATCTAGATTTACCAGCAGATCTACTGGCACACTCTTTGTATGTGAAATATTTAGAGATTGATTGGAGCAGCATCTAAGACTGAAGTCTTTATTCCTACCACATCAGTGCTGCAAACAGAGCCATTGTCGCACTCTTCCTGATTTAAAGCCAGGTTATATTCTACCAGATGATTAAACGAGTTTGAGATTCCTTCTCTCTAGTGTTGTATTTTCTGAGGTGCGTAACGGACATCAGCCTAACTTAGCTCTGGGACTACTGCATGAACCCCATGAGTGTTAAGGTCTTTGCCACCATAAGGTCTCCTTTCATATCCCATCTGGGGTATTGTTGGTCCAGCCCTGCCAGGCCCACAGTCTCCCTGCTTTTGTCTGTCTCCTAAGCAGATACTGGGTGCTTCATTGCTTGGCCAGGGGCTAGCGTGGGAAAAGTCAGAAACCCAAGGACCCTGTGATTTTGGCAGATGGCTGACAGGCTTAAGGCTGCAGGGTGACCTCATTGCAGCCTTTCGGTACCTACATGGAGCCTACAAACAGGAGGGGAATCAACTCTTTGAAAGGGCTGATCACTGCAGGATGAGGGGAAATGGTTTTAAGTTGAGGGAGGGGAGATTTAGGTTGGACATCAGGGGGAAATTC